CCACCACCACAACGCAGAGTTCCACCACCACCTCCTCATAGAGCTCCACCGCTACCACCTCACAAAGCTCCACCACCACCACCACCACCAATCCATCCCTTTTCTCCGCCCCCGCCATCACCGCCCCCTACTCCGGGAGACCATAACGTCGTTATCATCATCTTCGTCTCATTCGGGGGCCTGTTATTTCTAGCATTTCTCTGTGCTGCACTGTTCTACTTTTTCAAGAAGCAAAAGAAGAAAACCACTGAAGAAGTCGATGAAGATAGCTTCTACGAACGAATAACAGCACAAGAAGAAGACATTATTGTACCTCCAAGCCCACAAGTAGAAAACTCCGCTCTCCTCGCCATTGATGCCGAGGAAGAATTAATGAAGACTAATAAAATCATAGGAGGGAGTTCCCGCGTTAAATCAATGGAAAACCATCTTCATTTCTTCACCACATCTGAACATCATAACAAACATCATTAGCAATAATGACTCATTATTTTACTCATATACATTACAAGTATGATCCAAATAATCAAGTAATGTTTCATATCCACTGCAATAAGTAATATAGTTCTTGTGTGTATGCAATGCAAAAATCTTCATTAACTACAATGTGTGCTATAGTAAAATGGCTAATTATTCAATCCTAATGTACTTCTCCTCACTCTCAAAATAAACTTAGTACTTTTCCTTTTCAAGAATGAAATATGTGGTTTACAGTACGTATTTCTCTACTCTAAATAAATTTCAATCACACATTTTTCCCACTTTTCAATCAAATATCTAAAACTCCGTGAAGTTTAAATGTAAAATTAAATTTGGGATGATGGAATGTGATGGATTAATATTATACTACATAAAAAACTCGCATTTAGTCAACGATTTTTTTCAGTTGTCACGAATGTAGCCGTGACAACATAACATTTGTTATGGTGTTTGTCACGAATTAGTGTCGACTAAAAGTCTACGACTTTTTTCATGGATATATATCCATTGCAATATATATAGTTCTTGTGTGTACCTAATGCAACAATCTCCAGGTGCGGTAACTAGTTAGTCATTCAATTTTAACGTAATACTGATCCTCTCCCTAATTAAATAAATTTAAATTATTTTTCTCTCTACCACAGTAAACTTTACAGTTTTTTTTAAAGAATGAAATATGTAATTTGTAGTGTTTCTTCCTCTTTTAATCAAATTTCAATTATAAACACATTTTATTTTTCAACATTTTTCTTAAGATCAGCAACGTTAAACGAAAACATTTATTTTGGGACGATGGAGCTAGTATGATTAAGCAAAATTGTTGATCAACAATTAGTATTTGGTCGACAGAATATTGATAGAGAAACTAAAATATGTTCTCTTTGAATAAATTAAAGTTGTAACCAACGACATGCTTTATGTAATCACTTGACCTTCAAGCTAAGGGCTATGGCTGGTCCTAAGCAGATTATTATGGCCCTGTGCAGAACAAAAATATTATAGTGATCGAGTTGTCAAAAAATATTTAGTTTCGTTTTGGAGAAAACAATATGTAGTATAAATACTTCATTCAAATTATTTCCAAAACTTATAAATTGTAACGCCAATTTAATGACGTTTTAAATGTTGTTTCATGAATTTTTTTTGAATTTATTATTGCATTACATCTTTAAAGAGATTCATTTATTAGAATAATTTTTCATATGGTACTAAAGAAGCTTACCCAAGTTTTCTGTTAAGAACAAGAAGTATCCTTTGTTCCACAGTTTGCTTAGAAAAAATGCCACTATTATCACGTCATCCCCGAGCGGCGGCATCTACCATGAGCTCTAATAGTACATCACTCTCTTGGGTTGTCCATTGCTCATACCCTCCTTTTCTTTTGGTATTTTGTTGTTAATCACCCATGATGATTTTGCTATATTTTACAATAGTCAACAATATGTTACAAAGAACAACACTATTTGATATTTATGAAACAAGACGATGACAAAACAAATCATAAAGAGAAACAATAACATGACAAAAACAAATCATAAAGAGAAAGAAATCATAAAGCAAAACAAGAAGATAAAGAGAAACACAAAAACGAATCATATGAACACAAGATGTAATCAATCAAAACAACCCCAAACAATTCAAAAATAGGAGAGATTAATTAAGCTGCTGCCCAAAGATCTAGATTCCTGTTATTCCTTTTTGGTGGAAAAAAGAAACAAAAGGGAGGAGACTTTAGTGCTTTTAACAAATTGAAGAAAAAAATCTGAAACTTTAGTCAATTTTAGAGCAAAAAAAATACTCCCTATTGTTAAGGACACAAAATGCAAAATCCATAGCTCATTTAAACCATTACTGAGTGCTATTCACACTGAGAGATAACAAAATATTTACTGATGATTTTGTAAAATTTGTCTGATTTTGTGGTTTTGAGGTAGGACGGTAGGAAAACACACCCCAAGTATGATGGGTTACTGCCACACTTTAGCCTCCCATATCACTTGTATGTATGTGGGTATGGAATGTGTAAAAGAAGTACATCATTATCAAAAAAAAGAAGGGGGGTGAACATGAGTATATATTTCCCTTTGTGCAGGTGGGACAACAAAACCTCATTGGTGTTTCCAGATGAGAACCCAACAAAACCATAAACATATTACTCCCCAAATATGCCCCAAGTTGTCAAAAGTTACTGTGTCAACAAAACCAAAGATGAAGCAACAAAACCAAAGATGTTAAAAGTTGCTGGGCTTCCCCTTGTTTAACAAATTAAATAAACCAAGCGCATACCGGAACAGATTGGGAAAACAAAATCAAAGAAAAAGCTCTCCACTTTGGATGCTCTGGGTCGGAAATAAAGATATTCAGTGAAAGGAGAAGCATTCCCTCCGGGTCGGAAATTAGGGTTTGAAATTCATAAAGAAATTCAGTAAAAAAAACTCCAAAATCATGTTAGAATTTACCTTAATTTGAACAAATTATTGATAACTGGAGAGGAAAACAAGTTGTAAAACGATAGAGAAGCGCTTACCTTGAACATGAAGGGAAAGATTGAAGGTGATGAAGATGGAGAAGATGAAGAACGTGTTCCTGCGTAAAAATCTACTTTTTAAAAAATCTTTAAAAATCTATAGATTTTTAAATACCGTTATATTTAGAAAGATTTTTTAAAGTTTAAATTGAATACACACAGATTTTAAATGATTTTTTAAATTTCGAAATGAATACCTATGGATTTTCAAGATTCAAAAAAATCTATCAAAATCCTGATTGAATGCACCCCTAAATTGTATGCAATTCAATACATGTTTTTGCATTATATTATTGAATAACGATCTACTTTCTATTATAAATCATTTTTATCCTTATTTTTTTTATATTAACTATCACATCATTTTTTCCACTAATAATTTATCCATCACATCTTACTTTTACACCTTACAAAAAATTGGAAAGTCAACCCTAAATATACACTTCTTATTTTTTCTAAAAGTTATAATAAGAACCGTTTTATAAAACGAGAGAAATAATTTTTAATCTATTTATTTCAACCTTTTGTCTCTTTTTATTCTTTCTATGTCAAACTTTTTTTGTCCAAATCATTCTCCAAAAAAAAGGTGAAATCGCTCACCCCGGGCGCCCCTCACCCCCGACCCGACGGAAATGTGAGAGGAGGTAAATCACGGTGACCCAAGCACAACACTTAGCTAGGCCATATCCTAGTGCGCACCAGAGACTCCCCCCATTTTTTAGAGGTGGTCGCCTCCACAACGGTCGCTGTCAGGTTTCGATCTTTGGTCATTCTCCAAACTTCACCAAGTGTTTGCCACTTGGGCTACCCGTGCGGGTTTTTTTTTGTCCAAATCATAATAAACTTCACCAAATGTGACTCCCACTCATTATGACTTTTTCTTTCACTTTTGAAAATTTTACCACCCTTAGTGCACAACGTGTAAAGTCTAAATCCACGAAGGTTGTTACAGAGGATGCTATACTAGAATAAGTTGATTTAGTGTGGGGCAAAAACCCTCACAAAAGGATAAAAGCCGTCACAAAATGAAGTTTCGCGTCGACCTTGCGTCGGAATCGGGGCCGTCTAATTGCTAGTGTCGGTCAAACCCTCCCTAATTTTTGTCGGCTTACTCCTCACAAGTTTTCGTCGGTGTTACCCTCAATAATTAGTACGTTAAGCCCATGATAATTAGTATTAGCTATCCCCTCGCAATTATGGAGACTAGTTTGTGTCGGTAAAGGTGTTGCTATTTTGCATCGAGGTTGCCCTCATAAAATGAAACACCTCATTATTTGTCTCAACGTTTTGTATGGAGGAACTCCTTGCTAAAGTTCAAATATAAAAGAATATTAGCAAGGGTTAAACCCACACAATATTTGTTTTTTAAAATACCGAATTTCATATAAACAAAATATTCAAGGGTAACATATAAATTATTATTACCCAACTCAAACAAATACATACATGTCAAATGCTTAACCATGATAATGGTTAGATGCACGTGAGACAATTTCAAACTTAGACTACAGGAAATGATTACATCAAATAAAAAATACAACTCAAAACCAACCATACAAACACTAACAAGAGTTCAATCTTAGATCCAAAAAAGGAAAAATAATACAACAAATTCTTTCATAAGTATCTTGCCAAAAGAAGCACCAGCAGCGCATATCCAAACAAAAATGTGACTACCCACCAAGAAGAGTAGCTCGTCATCACAAAGGGATCATCTTCCATCATTTTGATAACAATTCAATTGTAGAACAAGTCCAAAGTGGTCCAAGCCAAGGTCACATCATATCCAAATAATTTCTGAAGCAATTAGGTAGTAGTCTAGGTAGCTTCTGTGAGCCATTCTCACAGTTAAGCAAATGACATTAACATATTCGTTGAATGCAAGAGAACACCAACAAACACACCTTTACCAAAGTTCCTTCCATCGAGAGTGATGTCCAAATCACGGGTTCAGTATATAGCAGCATATCCACATACAGCAGCATCCCTTTGATCGAAGTAATCCCTCTGTCCAGCTTTGATTGGCAGTAGGAATCCAGCATCCAGCAACCCACATATGGCCTAAGAATTGGCAAAGTTTGTGGAGAGCAGAGTATAACAGCAGCATCCATCAGTAGAAGGAGATTCAAGTTCAAGTTTAAGTCCAAGGCAGCAGTAACTGGGCAGCAGCAGATTCCAGTAGCCGAGTCGCCGAGCAGCAGTATAAAGTCCAGTAGCAACGCCATGTATAGGAAGCGTCATCATCCATTGTCCACACATTCCAACAACCACAGCATTGAGTATCAAATCACAAGCAACAAGAAACACACACCATTCCTCCCATGAATTAGGTAGAATTTGGTGAGTATCCTTCCACCAGAGTGACAAAAACCACCATGGGAAGCTCCCACCCTCGGGATCCAAACTATTCTTTACTTATCCTAAACAAAATATGAATATTGAAAGGGATGGGAGTCTAAACATATTTTAAATACACAACATAAACATAATAAACACTTTAATGTCATTCGTCACAAGAATTCATAAAAATCACTAACACTTTAATTTCATGATCCATACTAGACTAATACGAACAATTCCAAGCTTAAAAAAACTATTGCAAAGCATAAGCTTAATGTCAAAACATTTCATTAAGAGTGAGTGTTGGCGACAGAAGAAGGAAGCCGGATCAAAGAAGGAAACTGAATCCCTTTGGGATTCGGTTTAGTATCTTTCCTAGTTTGCTTAGTTCTTGTTATAGTAGGAATAGAAATATGGTAGGAATAAAAGTTTACTTATATGCTTTACTCTCTTCCTATATAAAGAGGGTTAGACCTTTGTATTCACAAGTCAATTCAATATACAGAATATTTTCCCTCTTATTAATTTCTACATGGTATCAGAGTAAGTTTTGAATTCTTGAGACCTCAAACACGCTTCTTCTCCTGCCGGTGGGCATACACAATTCAATGCCTACCGGCAGGATATTGTAATTTTTGATTTTCTTTAATTGTTCTCCTTCACTAAAGAATATCATGAACTCCTTCAACAAAAAACATTGCTGTCGAGGAATCTCGCCCAACCATCATGTTGAGTGTTACTTCAAAGTCCCACATCGGTGGGATAGGAAAATTGAGGAGGGATTGGAGCCTATAAATAAAGAGAAGATATAGGCTTCCATCACACAACACAATCCTTCAATCTATATAATTGTGTATTAGATTTTAGGTTGTGAGTGTCAAATATTGGAGAGGGTTTGTAATTTTTCCGTGCAAAAATTACTAGTGAGATTTTATCCCAGAGGGGGTCGTGGAGTAGGTCTTGAGGTGCCGAACCACGTTAAAAATTTGTGTGATCTTTTTTATTTTCTTTCCATTTATTTGTAGTGGGGGCCCAACAAGTGGTATCATAGCCAAGGTGCAGAGCCCGGGTGATCTGGTAATTATAATTCTTAGTATGCTCTGTGGTTGCAGCTTTCACTGATCTTCCACATCAGAAAAGAATTATTAATTACAGAGTTGCAGTTTAGGGAGGAAGGAGATAGAGCAAGGAGCAAGAGGAGGGAGTGCCACTTCAGCGGAGGAGGTGGTGGTCCAGTCAGCAGAGGTGGGTCCGTGAGTTCCACATCAGCAGTTTGTGGGTCCGAGTGCCACGTCATCATCCAGTCAGCACCACGTCAGCGAGTCCAGTCATCAGTGGGTCCCATTACCACGTCAGCAGGTCCAGTCATCGTGTGGGTCCCGCTGGTGACTTTCTGAGAGAAGTTGGTTCTGACTAATTTTGACGTCCTGAATCCATTTTTGAGGCCAGTTTCCTCAAATTTGGATTGTTTGGTANTTGATTGCTGCTTGAGTGGAACTATGACTACCTTGAAGTTTGAAGTTCCGTTATTTGATGGAAGAGCGGACTTCATGTTGTGGCAATGCACGATTCAAGACTATTTGGTCCAGCAAGGTCTTGATTTAGCATTGCAAGATGAGAAGCCAAGTGATATGAAAGAATCAGAGTGGAGTACAATCCAGAAGAAGGCTGTCAGCACAATTCGGTTGGCACTGTCCCCACAGATTAAAGTGACAGTGCTGAAAGAGACATCACCAAAGAAGCTGTGGGAAACGTTAGAGAGCAAGTTTGCGTCGAAGACACTTACTAACCGATTGATGATGAGGATGGACTTGTACTCACTGAAGATGGAAGAGGGAGGTAGCATAATTGATCACATCAACAAGTTTAATGAGCAAGTATCAAGGTTGTTAAATGCAGGGGAGACTATCAAGGATAAAGAGCAAGGGCTGCTTCTACTGGCTTCACTACCAAAATCCTTTAAGCCGTTTGTGCAGTCAATGATAGCAGGAAGGACTACACTGCAACTAGATGAGGTGACGACTGCCTTGAAGGAGAGTCAAAGGATGATGGGAGGTGAAGAGTCTTCCAAGGACAATCATTTACTAGCTGCTGTGAATGTTGAGAAAGGGAGGAAGAAGAAGAGTGACCAACTTGGGAGAAGATCTCAGCTGAGAGACATGAGCACTGTTATGTGCTATTACTGTGAAAAGTTGGGTCACACGAAGAACGGTTGTCCAGAACCCAAGGAGGACTTGCAGATCCTAAAGGAGAAGAAGGGCAAATCGAAGGAAGCTTCTTTCGCAAATGTGATCACTTATGAAGATGATCTTCTCTGAAGATAAGAGTACTGCTGGACAGAAGATTCTGCAGGATGGGAGTATCGCTGCAGAAATCGCAAATGATGTAGGACTTTGAATTAAGGGGAGATTTGTTGAGTGTTACTTCAAAGTCCCACATCGGTGGGATAGGAAAATTGAGGAGGGATTGGAGCCTATAAATAAAGAGGAGATATAGGCTTTCATCACACAACACAATCCTTCAATCTATATAATTGTGTATTAGATTTTAGGTTGTGAGTGTCAAATATTGGAGAGGGTTTGTAATATTTCCGTGCAAAAATTACTAGTGAGATTTTATCCCAGAGGGGGTCGTGGAGTAGGTCTTGAGGTGCCGAACCACGTTAAAAATTTGTGTGCTCTTTTTTATTTTCTTTCCATTTATTTGTAGTGGGGGGCCCAACACATCAATCTTGAAGAAGTTGTCCGAGAAGGGTTGTTCTACAGAGACAGACAACTCTTTCCTTAGCATGCAATAAAAAAAAGTCGGCGTTCAAGGTGTTCGAAAAGAATGGTGTTCCTCCTGTTTGTTCGAATTCGGTGAAGGTTCGAAAAGAATGGCGTTCCTTTACTCGACTGATTATTCGGCGGATTCAAAAAGCTTGGCGTCTCCGTTGAATAAAAAATCGAAGTGTCTAGATGACACTTGGACAACAATGGCAGCGGCTTCCTCAAGCTTTGTTGCTTTGTTCAATCTTTTGATGTCCAAGATGGGCATGTTGAACTCCCATGCTCCAGCTTGAGGGGGGGTGTTGGCGACAGAAGAAGGAAGCCGGATCAAAGAAGGAAACTGAATCCCTTTGGGATTCAGTTTAGTATCTTTCCTAGTTTGCTTAGTTATTGTTATAGTAGGAATAGAAATATGGTAGAAATAAAAGTTTACTTATATGCTTTACTCTCTTCCTATATAAAGAGGGTTAGACCTTTGTATTCACAAGTCAATTCAATATACAGAATATTTTCCCTCTTATTAATTTTTACAGTGAGAATAAATATTTTGTGCCTTATAAAGAAGAACGCTGTTTCAAACTTCTTGTTAAGTTTGGCATTTCATCAAACACTTGGTGGGCATAATTTCTAACATTAAAATATATTGAAATTGGAGATGTAAATATGCTTTTAAATTGAAGATGTGATTTCTAACATAAAATTCACTGAAATTTCGAACTGAATATTTACATTCACTGAAATTCACGTAAAAAATTTTCTAACGTGAAATTCAATGAAATTCACTCAAATTTCGAACTGAATATTGAAATTGGAGATGTAAAAATACTTTTATATGAATGCAATGCATAATAGCCACACATTTTGTGAGGGGCTTATGGCGGGGTTGGGGTGGGGGTGCAGGGGTGGAGGTAGGGTGGGGGGTTTAGGGAGTGGGTTGGGGGGTAGGAACCATCAATTTTACGAACGGAGCACCGGAGGTACCCCAAAAACCCAGTGGCACCGCTAGTGGCACCGTTTTCTAGTGTCACTAAAACCCCACCGATGGACTATAATAAAACGCAAATGGGCGGGCTTTTAAAATTTTAGTTTTGTGTTGGCCCAACCGACAAAACAAATTATTGAAAAATTTTAAAAAAACAAGTAAACCCACATAAACTTTGTGTCGGGCAAACCGACACTAATTCATTTTTAGTTTCTCATTTAAACATGTTGGATAAACTTTCGCAAACATATTTTTAAAATTATAATAGAAATTTACAAAAATATTTATACATTTTATCATCGTTTAGACTCACATAAAAATAAATAAGTTATTTGTGTTGGCTTAGCACACGCAAAATTGCGAGGGCTACGTGCCCCTCACTAACATTGACAGCTAATTCAACTTATTCTAGTAGTGTATATCACTGACGCGGTTTGAGTTGTCAGACACAGTGCTATACCAACCACTCCACACAGAAACAAACAATTAAGAATAAAAGAGAAACAAACACAACAAGCAAATTGTTTACGCAGTTCGGAGCAAATTCTCCTACGTCTGTGAGGCCCACGTCAGTGTAACAACCTTCCCACTATATATCACTGTAGAGTTTACACCCTCAATATCAATAGACTCGATCTAATAATTGATCTAAACTCTATAGTACAATGGGAATGCATCAGACTCAGTTTGTGCATGCATGCCAAGATTGAAACACTTATCAACTTATCTGTGATGTGTCACTGGCCTACGACGCTCCAGTATTACTCAATTCAACTTTCTGGAACACACGTTAATCTTCGAGCAGAAGCATCTTTCTGTAATCCAGCGATGAATAATTGATCAGCAGATGCCTATAGTATTTAGATTTGTTTACTCTCTTTCGTTGGCTCTCTCTATTTTTCACACCAATAAGATAGCAGGTTAGCCGTATATTTACACTCCTCTAAGGCGTGATCAACCTTAGTAGAGTCTTTGTGTAACTCTACTTCAACACATAGTTATCCGGTATAGTCCTTGCGTAACCTCTCTTCAATATACAATTGTCCAAACTCAACGAGATTTTGTAGCTTATGCGAACTCCTTCTGAAATCAAGTTTCCATCAGGTAGCAGCTAGGGCAATTTAACAGCTCGGTCCAGAATCCTCCTTTGACTATGTAAGAGACAGTCCCAGACTCACTTGGACAAGTAGAGTGACGGATAGGACGCTACAACTTTATATTTTGGTTATCTCCCTCATTGTATGCTACCCGAGCTAAATACCCAGTTGGAGCTCTGAACAAGCTGAGAGACTTTGGCAAAACCTCAAG